CATGCTCTCTGTCTCTCATTCTCTCTCTCTCAAATAAATAAAATCTTAAAAAAAAAATAAAATAAAGTTTGGTGTAAAAAAAAGTACACATTCCGAAAGTTTTATCCTGGCCTCCACAGCTTGCATGGTCTGGCCCCTGCTCACCTTGCCATCTCCTTGCACACCTCCTCTCCACTTCCCACTCAACACTGGCCTGCTTCCTGCTTCTACACCTTGGAAGCCTCCAGCTCCAGGTACCACAGTGGCTGGGAGCTGAGCTTGGAACCAGACTTGGGTTTGAAATGGAAGGAAGCTGAGATCGGTCAAGTCTCTTGACCTCTTTTCCTCAGTTTCCTTATCTGTAAATGGAATGATAATCATACTTTCTTTATAAGGTTCTTATGAGGATTCAACGAGTTAACAGTAATTCTGGTATCTAGCGCAGGGCTTGGCATACTACTGCCTGCCATCTGGTTTTGTATGGCCCATGAGCTAAGAATGGCTTGTACATTTTTTTTTTAGATTTACTTATTTGACAGAGATCGAGAGAGAGAGAGAGAGAGAGAGAGAGAGACAGCACAAGCGGGGGGGGGGGGTGTTGGGGGGACAGAAGGAGAGGGAGAAGCAGGCTCCCTGATGCAGGACTCGATCCCAGGACCCTAAGATCATGACCTAAGCCAAAGGCAGATGCTTAACCATCTGATCCACCCAGGCGTCCCTCTAATTTTTTTTAAGATTTATTTATTTGAGGGCACCTGGGTGGCTCAGATGGTTAAGCGTCTGCCTTCGGCTCAGGTCATGATCCCAGCGTCCTGGGATCGAGTCCCGCATCGGGCTCCCTGCTCCTCGGGAGCCTGCTTCTCCCTCTGCCTCTCTCTCTCTCTCTGTCTGTCATGAATAAATAAATAAAATCTTTAAAAAAAAATTTATTCATTTGAGAGAGAGAGAGAGCGTGCGTGCACACGCACACCTGCGTGTGGGGGAGGGGCAGAGGGGGAGAGAGAGAATCTCAAGCAGAATCCTCGCTGAGCATGGAGCCTGATGCAGAGCTTGATCTCACCACCCTGAGATCAGGACCTGAGCCGAAATCAAGAGTCTGCAGCTTAACAGACGGAGCTACCCAGGGTCCCCACACTGTTCTAGTTTTTGACATGCCCTTTACTGTGTCTTGCTGTGTCCTCAGAGCTGAGCCTAGTGCATGACTTGTAGGAAGTGCTCAATAACTGGGTTCCTGGCACTGGGGGGCTAGTCTAGACTATAACCCAGGAGCCTCTGAGCTTGTGGGTGAGCTGGTCCGATGAAAAAGACCATCACTCAGTTGTGCCTACAGGTAAGTCAGGGCTGGAAAAATGAGAGGCCCATCAGCAATGGCAAGGCTCTGCCCTGTGCCCTGTTGCACAGGGAGGGACATTCAAACCTACTGGACAGTGGGAGGGCTCAGCAGGAGACTGACCCTTCATCTGAGGCCTGGAGGCTCCCAAAGGGTCACTTGCATTCACACCATCCTCCCTTCCTTCCAAAACAGGAAAAGGTTTCGGAGGGGGGGGGGAAGGGCCGGGGTGTGAAGCTTACATAGCGTATCACCCAAAATCAACAAAACCACAATGGTCACATCAAAGAATGACCCAGGTCTCAGGGAATCCCGGCATGGCAAGACAGGGCTGAGCATGGGGCTCTTCAAGCCACTTCACAGTACAACCACCCAACCCCCCACCTCCACTCTGCAGCCCAGCCCCTTCTATCGGCCTGGGATCTTGAAGATGTCAGTCACTCCTCTGCCCAAGGCCACAATCTCCATGATCTTTCTGGATCTCCATGGACCTCCTCATTCAAGCCAACTCCAACCCTCCACTCCCCCACACACTCCTCTCCTTCACAGTGAAACTTCTTTGAAGACTAGTCTGCAGGCTCCATCCCCGTGGCCTCAGCTCCCAGGTGCCCCTCTGCCAGTACAAATCTGTTCACTCTTTGGGTTCGTCATAGCTGCCAAGAAAGCACACAGCCCAGAATCCAACATCCACCATCAGACCTTATCATAACTGCCCTCACAGGGCTCCTAGCAGTTGAGCTCCTCCTCCTCTGTAGGACCCTCACCCTGGGCATCTGTAGAGCTAACGAGCCCCATATCTCTGTCTTCCTCTCAGCCTGTAGTGCTGATGAAGCCTTACCCAAGGCCACAGAGCTTGGAAGGGGTGGGGGGAGGTTTGCTCTCTCCCTTCCACCACCACACGGGTTCAGTATGGTGGCAGCACGACACACACATAGAAAAGTGCTCAGGGGGCGGGTGAGGGGGACAGAGGATGGCGGCTAGTCGGTAAAGGCAGATGAGTGTTATTCGGAAGTCTGTGAGGAAGTATTTCAAGAAGGAAAGTACAAGAATTAGATTTGCATTTCAGATCAAGGAGAAGGATGGGGGCAAGGGGCTAAGACAGAGCCAAGACCAGTCAGGGGAAAGTGCTGTAATCCGAGGGTAATGCCACAGAGGCAGGTTATTTATTTGGTGGAAGGGATGGACAGGAAGGGCCAGAATCAAGGATATTTAGGATGAAGTTCTAAGAGAGCCTGGAGGTGAGGGAACAGCCTCCCAGATGTCTTGCTTGGGCTAACGAGTAACCGAGCAGAGGCACTGGAGTGGGGGGCTGTAGGGACTCACTCGAGCAGGAGCCTGTGTCAAGCAGGGACACAAGCAGGTAAAGGTACCGCAGCCACGAGATCCTGCCACGTCCAGCATCAGCTCACACCCCAGCACTGATAACCAACAGAAGCAGAGGATGTCTGCAGGGCCCCAGACCCGATAGATCCCTTTAAAAGGGGAGGATTTTTGCAGCAAACTATCAGTCTCCTCAGACCTGACCCCTCTAGACAGACAGACCCCCTCAGTGTGACCACTTCAGAAAGGCAGTTGCTGGGCACCTGGGTGGCTCAGTTGGTTAAGCGACTGCCTTCGGCTCAGGTCATGATCCTGGAGTCCCGGGATCGAGTCCCGCATCGGGCTCCCTGCTCAGCGGGGAGCCTGCTTCTCCCTCTGACCCTCCCCCCTCTCGTGCTCTCTCTCTCATTCTCTCTCTCAAATAAATAAATAAAATCTTAAAAAAAAAAAAAAAAAGAAAGGCAGTTGCTGCCCAAGGCTCTGCCCGGTTGATCTCCCAACAGGACTGAGATGCTTCCCTGCTCGAACATAAGGAGCAGTCAGTGCCGAGAGCTGATCCGGACCTGACTGAGACCTCATCTCAGCCGCCGCCCACAGACTGACTTCGTGTTTGGTTTGTGAACTCCCTACCCCCTTGTTATCTTGTTTGTTGTGTGCCGTATAAGAAGCCAAGTTAATCACATGGTGAAGTATCACTGAGGCTGGAATCCTAAACCTGCTTTATATTAACCTTGCTTTCTGATTGAATAAAGCGGACACTGGGGAAAGACACAGCTCGTGTGTGCACCTTCACAGCGTGTTCAGGACAGGTGCTCTCGGCGGGGCACTCCCGGAAGTGATTGTGATAGTTGTGGTGTTTCCCCCTAAGAAGCCAACAACATTAACCGCTAATCTTGCGTGTCTTCCGATGACCAGGAAGAGTGGGGACACATGAACTGCTACCATTGCCGCCAAAGTCCACCCAGCCAGATACCTGCCTGGGTTAGGTGTGTTAGGTCACCGGAGGTCAGGGGGTTCACCTCACATTGAAGTACCAAAACTGCACAGAATGGACACAGGCTGCTGATAGAGACCAAAGACAGAAATCCCTAGAACACAGATCCCAATGCTGAGTCCACAGAATCAGGAACCCTCTTCCCAGGTACCTGCCAGCCCTTTGCTGTCAGGGGAGACCAAAGTCCAGGCACACCCCAAGCAGGTGAGAGAGGAGGCTAGGACCGAACAGCAGAGCCCGGGGAGGAGGCTCCAGCCAACAGGGAGGAAATCCAGCCCACGCACGGGGAGGGAAGGAAGGAAGCACCTTCTAAAGCTTCCCCATCCCAGCTTTGATCAAGAGCTTGGGGAGCAGGGAAAGGGCGACACACCCATCACAATGAGGAGCCCAGAGCTAGCCTTTGTGCAGTCTCCTTCAGGCAGCCACTAGCCCCTTAGAGAACTTGGCCCCAGGGCCCCGGGGGGAGGGGCTCTCCTCACCACCCCTGAAGTGAACTAGGCAGCACAGCCAGGAGCAGAGGCCTCTTTACATTTCTGGGATTCAGGACAACCCCAGTGCCGCCCGGAGAACACGGGGGAGCAAAGACACCCATGAGGGCTCACTGCTGGGCCAAGACGGGGATGAGAAGAGCAACTGCTGCTCCCACGGCCAGCTCCACCCCAAGTTAAAGATCAGGAAAAAAGGCCAGGGCTCCGAGGAGGGCTAGCCTGTCTCCGGCGTCCCTCAACCTGGAATGACTCCACACGTGCCTCGGCTCTCTGCACCCATGGAGAGTAATCCCACGGCTGCCTGAGCCCCTGCTCCGGGGCCTTGAGGGGCCCCAACCGGCCCCGGATCCTCCCCCACTGGCCTGGAGCGCCGGTCCAGGCAGTGGGACACGCTGGTGCTTCTCCCTTTGACCCTGGTCTGCGAGGCGGCGCCCGGGATCCTCACACGGGAGGTCACCGGAACCCCGGAGCGGCTCCAGTTTCTCGTCTGGCCTCGCTCCAAAGCCCACACAAAGCCTGGGCATGTCCCTGCTCCGCCGGCCCGAATTTCCCGGCCGCAAATGCAGAGACGTCTAGCGCTGCCGACCCGACCCACAGGTTGCAAAACGAAAACAGCTCCACACGCAGATCAAGGTGAAAAGCCCCACAGGCGGCCTTCGCTTCACAGGCTGCCGCCCGAGAAGCCGCTCCCGACCCGAGCACCCTGCGCCCAGGAGGGGCCTGCAGAGACTCGCGCGCCCCGCGCCCGCCTCCCCGAGGGCTGGCCGGGCAGGGCTCCCGAGGAGGCCCCGCTCTGCTCGGCGCCCCCCGCGCCCCCGCGCCCCGCGCGGCCTCTCCCTCCTGCGCCCGCCTCCGCTCCCGCCGCAGGCCCCGGAAGTCCGCGCCTCACCTTCCGCCTCGCGCACAGCGCCGCAGCGCAGCCGCTCAGATGCGGGCCACCGCTCCGGCGGCCCCGCGCTCCTCTGGGCGCCGCGGGGGCGGGCCCCGCGCCCGGCTCTCGCCATGGCAACGCTACACTTCCGGCCCGCGCGGCCCACAGCCGGAAGCCGCGGCGCCCACGGAAGCCCGGGGGCGGGGCCGATCGGCCAGGGGGCGGGGCCTTCCCCGAGAGCACGGCTGCCCGCGGGGCTGTGTGAGCGTCTCGGTGGCCGCGGGTCCGCGGCGCGGACGGGGCGGGAGGGGCAGGCAGTCAAAAGGCTTTCGGGAGGGTGGCCATCTGTGTGTGCTGGGCTTCTAAAGAACAGTCGGAGTTCAGCGGACAGAGTCATCACGGACGGAGGGAAAAGCATACCTAAGTGAAGGACCCGGTGCCTTGGGGCCATGGCAAGGAACCGAGGTGGCGGTTTAGGAGGGCGGGGGAGAGTGGTCACATAGGAATAGTGCGGACTCAAGGAGCCTCGAACGTCAAACCAGGCGAGGGAGGACCCGTGGAGGGGACGTGGTGGCTGAAGACTTGGAGGCAAGGCCCTCTTTGCTAATGGAGTGGGGTTAGGAGGCCGCAGACAGTGAGAGCACGGGGAGGCACGAGGACCCCGTCAACCAGAGCTCCGGGAACGGAAAGGGGTGACAGAGGAGTTCCGAGGAATGCACGGGACGTCTGAGAGTGGAGGGGGCAGTGCGGTACTGCGCATTACCTCATCCGTTCCCGCCCCCACACTTTCTGCCCCAGTGCACCTCCCGCACTCATGCCTTCCCTCAGCGCCTTCACGCCGGTTGGCTACCTGCTGTATGCTGTGGATTTTAAACCACTTAAGAGTATAATGTTGGGGGAGGAGGCTACCCAAGAAAAGTTGAATCCTTGGAGTAGAGTGATCTAAAGTGTGCTCCTGTGGTTTCCCTTGGGTCTAGGGGCCTTGATTCCAGCACCAGCCACTGCTGGTGTCCTGGGCCCAATACCCCCTTGGGCAAACTGCTGGTGAGGGGCAGGGCTGGGCTTTGGGTCATGGTACAGACCATAGGCCTTGACAGCTCAGATGGCCAGAGAGAAGGTGAGGGGACAGAATAGGGTCTGGGAATTGAGAGGACCAGTGAGTCTCAGGGCACCTGCCAGAGGCATTTTTCTGGGACCACGCATCTGGGGCAGGTCCTGTGCCTGCTAAAACCCTCAGACACTATAGCCAGGCCTGAGCAGGGGGTTCTGGCCCCTCAGGCGTCCCCAGCCTGAGCCTCCACTCACTTTCCTAGAGTGCCTCTCCTCCATTCAGGCCAACCCCCACCTGCCTGGGGAATATCTCCTTCTATCTAGACTAATCCTCAGGGTCCTGTGGCTGCCTGGGAAGCCTTCCTGCATACTCACACGACACACCTGTGCTCTCACTCCTGTCCAGGGTGAAACCAGGTGGTCCTCGCATGCTCCCCTGGGCAGGAACTATGACCCATAAAGCTGTATCCTCAAGGCCTGGCCCCAAGAGATGTCCAGTAAACCCCTCCAGCTAAGAGACCTCTTCCTCCACACACACAAACACCCAGGAGCACTGCCCAAGTGCCCCAGAACAAGGGGCATCCTCCTGGGTAGCAACCTTCAGAGCTTTGGACTCAGTGGACCAAGAGAGAAGGGAGGCAACTCTGCCTCCAAAAAGTCCTGTGGGGCCAAGGAGGTCCAGCTCACCTAGAGCCAGTGAGGTGCACAATGAATAACGAGAGCTGGTCAGCTCCCACTGTTAACAGGCACCAGGGAGGGGAGGAAAGTGGCCTCCAACGCCTTTGGAATCCACTGGGGCCCTGCAGCAGCCCCTGGGAGAATTCCTTGAATTAACTGTGTCCCTATTTTGTTCCTGAAGTTTCCTCCAGGAAGCCCTCTGACCACCATCTAGGTCCGGAAGCTGCTCAGCCTTGAACTCTGGGCAGGCCCCACCCATTCTTGGCAGGTCAACTTTGGGTAAATCAACTCCCTCAGCTATTAAATGGGAGCCTGAAGCCCAGCCCAGACAGGATAAAATAACCATAGGTCACAGGCCCCTTCCAAAGGCTTTTCCTTCCAGCTTGTAGGGGGTGCTGAAGGCAGCCCAGGGGTGAGGAATGAGGCCTGGGTGGCCGCCTGCAGCCCCCACTGGAATCCTCCCTGCCCCTCCCTTCCAGATTAACTGAAACCTGCTAATTGTGGCAGTCCTCTGCACGCTCCCCTCCCCCACCGCCGATTCCTCCCTCCCTTTGCCTCCCCTCCCCTCCCCCTTCCATCCGAATGATAAAGGGTCTGGCCCGCCAGGCCCGCCGGCCTCAGGCCCCCAGCCTTGCCTCAGCGCACTGCCCCATTGCCTTGCCTCCACGGGGCCAGACCCCTGCCCACGGTGCGTGCCTCCCCCTGCATGGGACCCTGCAGCAACCCACACCTGGGGCTTCCTGGGTCGGAGTCGTCCTCCCAGCCCCCCAAGAGAAGGAAGAAGAGATACCTGCGCCATGACAAGCCCCCCTACACCTACTTGGCCATGATTGCCTTGGTGATCCAGGCCGCACCCTCCCGCAGGCTGAAGCTGGCCCAGGTGAGAGGGACCCCCATTTTCCCTCACACTCGGTAATCGGACCTTTCGCCAGACCCGTCCCCCACCTACTCCTAGGCTCAGACTCCGGCTTCCATCCCCACCTGGCCCTACCCAGCTGAGCCAGTGGGGCCAGTCCAGGCCTGGGCACCAGGGGCAAGAGCCGAGGTGCTCAGGCAGGAACCTTCCCTCGGGGCTTTTTTTTTTCGCTCGGGCGCAGAGGTGTTCTTTGGGGGGGGGGGCGACGCCCCTCAGCCCGGCTGTGGGGGAGGGGCGGCGCTGCTCCCCTCTGCGTCCCGGCTCACAGTGCCGCGCCGGGTCGGTGGTTTCAGATCATCCGTCAGGTCCAGGCCGCGTTCCCCTTCTTCAAGGAAGACTACGAGGGCTGGAAGGATTCCATCCGCCACAACCTCTCCTCCAACCGATGCTTCCGCAAGGTGGGGTAGGGCGAGGGTCGGAGCTGGGGCGGAAATCCCGAGTGTCTGGGGTCGGACGGCCCCACCCAAGCCTCCCCACCCCCTCCAGGTGCCTAAAGATCCAGCGAAGCCCCAGGCCAAGGGCAACTTCTGGGCAGTCGACGTGAGCCTGATCCCGGCCGAGGCGCTGCGGCTGCAGAACACGGCCCTGTGCCGGCGCTGGCAGAGCGGGGGCGAGCGGGGAGCCTTCGCCAAGGACCTGGGCCCCTACGTGTTGCATGGCTGGCCCTACCGGCCGCCCAGTCCCCAGCCGCCGCCCAGTGAGGGCTTCAGCATAAAGTCTTTGTTAGGGGACCCCAGGGAGGGGGCACCACGAAGCAGCCCAGGTCCAGCAGGCTCTGGGCACAGTGGGGAGAAGGTGATGCCCACTCCACCCTTGCCCTCCGAGAGGCCTCTGTGGCCCCTCTGCCCCCTTCCCGGGCCCAGGAGAGCAGATGCGGAGACTTCCCAGGGCGGAACCAGCAGGCCCTCGCCCCTCTCCCCTGAGCACAGAGCCTGGCCCCTCCACTTACTGCAGGGTTCTCCAGATCCCGGAGGACTGTCCGGTGGGAGTCACAGGGCCTCACTTTGGGGGCAGCTGCCCACCTCTTACTTGCCTATCTACACTCCCAATGTGGTAATGCCCTTAGCTCCACTACCACCCACATCCTGTCCCCAGTGCCCACCTTCAACCAGCTCAGCCTACTGGGGGGTGGCCCCTGAAACTCATGGCCCCCCAGGGCTGCTCTGGGATCTAGATGCCCTCTTCCAGGGGGTGCCACCCAACAAGAGCATCTATGATGTGTGGGTTAGCCACTCCCGAGATCCAGCTGCCTCCACCCCAGGCTGGCTACTCTCCTGGTACAGCCTGTGAGGCTCCCAGGGCAGGGGCGCTTTCCTCTCCTATCCCTTCCTGCCACCACTGGCTTGTTAGGGAACGAAGGCCAAGAGGTCCCAGAGGTGTCTGTGGCCACGGCAGCCTTGAAACACCAGGCACCAGCGGTGCTGAGAATCCACGATGTTTATTGGACTACCCCCAAAGGGCTGTGGTCTAGCTAGGCACCACCCTGGCCCTGATGGTCAGTCATGCCTCTCCTACCCCCAGAGGCAAGCCTGGAAAGAGTGGGGGCTTTCCTTGCAGCAGCCCCTTCCTGATTCCACTTTCTCTGTCGGTCTATCCTTCTTTCCATCCATCCATCCATCACCATGTGTCACTTCCCCTCCCTGGCTCCGGGCTGGGGGAGGGAGAACCTAAATGGTGGCTCCAGCCTTAAGTCCTGTCCTCCCTCATGTGCCTGGGAATGAGGTAGCAGCACCTTTTTGGGGAAAGGAAATCGAAATTCTGCTTGGTTTTGGTGGTGGTAGTGGGGAAGATAACAGTAAAGGAGTAGACAACATTTTAATGCCGAGTCTGATTTTTGGTGATGGGGTGGTGATTGAGAAAACCACTTGGCGGGGTCTACCTCCCACAGTTCTGGCATCCCCTGCTGTGTGCTGCGATAACAGCAAATGGTGATAAGGAGGGAGCTGAGGGCCTGGGGGAGGGAGAGGCAATCATGTCCCTACGCTAAATACTCATGGGGCAAGGGAACCAATTCTGGGCTGGGGGGGGGGGACAGTGGGCCCCCAGAGGTCAAGGAGGTTGTGAGGGTGTAAGAGCTCTGCTGCCTCCGCCCGCAGAGGCGCGACTCCAGACTACGAGGGCATGTTCTTTTGGGTCCCAAGGGCCGAGCTGGAGTCGCTCGCTGGGCCGGGACTTGGAGGGCTGCCGGGGGACGGCGTGGGAGTGCAGGGGGTCCCGGTGAGTGGTGTGTCGGTGCTGAGGGAAGAGGGCGTCCCAGAGCGCGGGGCCCTGCAGCGCTGGGCTGGCCCCAGCTCCACTTGGCCCACTCGCTCGGCGAACTTCAGCGAGCACACGGTCTCGCCCAGATCCTCGGGCCGCGTGGAAATCTGCGGGGAAGCGGTGGGCGGGCCCTGAGTGGGCGGCGCCTGGCTTGCAAACCACCCCGTGCCTGCCGCAGCCCGAGGCCCACCTGCAGCAGCAGAACCGCGGTGGCGCCAGGTCCCAGCGCAGGCTGCAGAAGGCGCGTGAGCTGCGAATCGCGGAAGGGCACGTGTGGCCGGCGGGCCCGCAGCGCGGCCATCACGCCCCCCAGGGCCAGCAGCGAGCGATTGATAGTCCGGGCCTCCCGCAGACGCTGGGCGCCGTCTCGGTCTCCCCGCGACGTGCTGGCCGCCCCCGCCTTCCAGGCACGCTCGGATCCCGCCAGGTCCACCAGGTGCAGGGTGCCTGCAGGGGCGAGCAAGCCCGACGTGGAGGGAGCCCTGGTCTCCGGTGCTGCGAGCTCTCCCCACCCCCCACCCACGGGGCTGAGGTGCGCGCCTCGGTACCCGCAGTGCCTGGCCCGCGAGGTGGGGACGCCGTGCGTAGTGTCAGCGTGACCAAGGCATGCGACCGAGAGCTGTGCCGATTCTTGCTGGTGGCGGCGGTGGCCCGGTTGCTCCTCCCCAGGCTCAGCATCTGGAGGGCGGAGCAATAGGACCTACCTGCTGCTGCAGGGTCTGCGTCCCTAGGTGGGAGCACAGACGGTGCCTTGGAGAGCTCCTGGGAGGGGGAGGGGCTGCGTTGCCGCTGGGCAGCCTTACCTGGTGCAGGGTCTCCAGGTTGGGCACATCCCAGTAGGTGAGGCCAGCCACCTGAATGCCCCCCTGGCCTGCTGGGCCCTGCCTCACGGCCAGGCGCTCTGGAGGCCCTGGGGCAAGGAGGTCCCTGGTGAGAAAGGGAAGGGCTTGGTTTCTGAGGTTCCCCTGGTAACTGGAAGAGCACAGGGTGAGGACAAGGTGCTGTAGCATAGCCCTGACCTGACAGCCTCATTGTAGATCTCCACCATGCTGAGAGTCACACGGTGTTGCCCTCCGGTCCCCATCTCCTGGAACAGTGACTGCAGTGCCCTAGGAGCTATGCCAGGGTCCTCAGGCGGGCCCTGGGGACGGGGTGGGGTGCCACATCAGACTCACATCCCAGCCCCTGGCCCCAGGAGCCACCCCAGGTCTCCCCTTCCCACCTCCATACTGTAGGTCTTCCCCGTGCCCGTCTGACCATAGGTGAAAATGCAGACACTGTAGCCTCGGAGGCAGGACAACACAGCTGGCTCCAGCTCCCGGAAGACCTAGGGCCGGAGGGGGGGGAAGGGTCCTAAGTCTCAGGACCCGGGACACAGTGCGAATGAAGCTTGATTCCCCAGGGAGGGCGGCTCTAGGAGGGCACAGTGGAAAGGAGGACCTCCCAACAAATTGAGCAGGCTCCCTGGAGGAGACATTTGCAAGAATTTGCCAGGCAGAGGAGGGAAGGGATGTGCCAGAAAGGAAGAGCAAGCAACACGGAGCGCCGGAATTCTGAGGACCACCTGGGAGGCCCAGGGGCGCAGCAGCTGAGAGCCCAGATGCTGGGCTTGGCTGCCAGGTTCAGACCCCAGGTGTGATGGCAAGCAAAGCATCTATCGTCCTTCTGGGTTAAGGTTTTCCCTCTGTGAGGGGACGACTACAGTGCCACCTGTTGTAAGGGCTCAAGGGGAGCATGTACAAGAGGACTAGAGCAGCACCGGGCACACAAAGGATGAGCCCAGAAGAGCAGCACCGGGCACACAAAGGATGAGCCCAGAAGGGCTGCACAAGTGAGCAGCCCTCGGGGGCTCGTCAAGATCACTGGAACCCTGGCCTGTGAGGGTCCACAGAGAGGCGGCTGAGGAGGAGATGGCGCTGGGACTTATATCCTGTGCGCAACTGGACCCCAGCAGCAGCCTTTTGAGCAATGACATGGCCAGCTTTTGTGGCCAGAAAGTGGCTGCCAACAGAGGAGCCTGCGAGTTCTACTTAACGTGTTCCCTGCCAGCAATGAGGGCAGAATCAGAATTGCCTGTGAGGTCACAAGGTTCCATGACTGGAAGGAAGCACTGAGGGTGACTGATGGGGGACTGTGGAGCCCTTGCACGGATGGGGAACACATGTGAGCAGGCTCAGTGAAAGATGCCTTTGGCTCCTTCATTCAGACACACTGAATTGGAGGGCCCTGTCAGAGGACTGCCCGGAAGGCAGCAGATGGGGGGGCCTGCACAGGGCTGAAGTTTGGGATGCAGGCTGAGACCAGGGGAAGTGTATGAGATAGAGAGACAAGTAAAAAACAGCTGTGGTACTCCAGGAAGTGGGGGAGGGAGCCCTGGACACCTGCCAGGCACTCCTCACACTGTGTCCCTGTGAGGCCAACACAGGTCAGAATCTCTGCTAGGCGTCTCCCTTACTCCATCGCCTCTATTTCCTGAGCTTTGGAAGTTCTAATGTCAAAGTCTATGTGGACAGCGACAGGGAGCATATGAAGCAAGGTGGGGAGCTGGGCCTGGCAAGAAAGGGGAGGAGGGAAGGAGAGCGGGATCTGTAGTGGGCTCTCAGGAGAGCACTGAGGCTGGAAACCACCCACTCGCCCTTGCGCCCGACTGCCTCCTTGGCCACAAGGCATGGAGGGGAGCCTGCCCTCACAGCCAGCCCACTCCACCAAGGCTGAAAGAGTAAGCAGCCGGGAAGCCCGGAGGAAGGTGGTTACAGCACTGTCCCCACCCTAGCCACGCTCTGCAGCCAGCTCTCTGAGCAGTGGCTATCATCTCAGACAAGTTCATTTTCCTTAGTTTCCTGGTAAAAAAGTTAGTTTTTAAAATGTTAACCTTTCCGTTAAACCAGAAGGCTTATTTCCACTAGAACTGCAGAGCCTGGTGAAAGAATGTAAAGGGAAAATTCTGAAAAGAAAGGAGGTGCCCAGCTAGGCTGTCATTCCTGCCTCCCAGAACCTCCTGCTCCCTTCCCTTCTCTGGAGTTCAGCCACCGGGAAGGCAGATGAAGGGGAACCCAGAGCCTCTTCTGACTTGGGGGCAGTATGAGGGAAGGACAACACAGGCGCAAGGGCAGACCATCACCTCCTCCTGGCTGGCCTCTGGAGAGAAGACCCAGTCCAGGCGGAAGCGACGCTGGCGCCCTCGATAGCAGGTGGTGACCGTGCCACTGGGCCCAGGCTCCGAGCTCACCAGGCTGGAGGGTGTCCCTGGCCTCAGCCGACACAGCACACGGATATTTCCTGGGATGGAGATCACATCAGTGGGCTGCCTCCCGGGCCCTAAAGCATGGGGAGGCCCCACTTCCTCCACTTTCCAAGCCTGCCATACCCTTGAGCTCCAGCAGCCGCCCTGGGCATCCAGTTGGGGGCCCCTGCTGCTCCTCAGGGAGCTGAGTCCCAGCCCCGCCAGCTGACAGTGCCCCCAGGGCCCAGGACACCTGGTGGAATAGAGATGTGAGGAAGTGGGTGCAGTCGAGGAGCTTGAGGAGGGGGGGGCTGCTGAGGATATAACTTTCAGTGGCTTTGGGCCCCTAGGGGCATCATTCGTGGGCCCAGGATGGAGACCCAGAACCTGAGGAGAATCAGGGAAAAAGACATCTGTCTCCTCCGGGGTTGGCAATCCTGTGAGGGGTTTACTGTCACCCCAGTTTGCACCGACAAAAATGAGACCAGAAATGAGATCACACCTAGGGCGTGTGAGATCACAAGCTGTTCTGATTCCAGAGCCTACCACCTCCATTACAGCAGACAGCTCCCCGGGGTGGAAAGAGAAAACGAGGGTTCCCCACAGAAGGACAGTGACCAGGCTGCCCAGAGACCATGTTCTGGAGAGGGGGCAGATGGTCCTGACCTGACCCCGGGCCTCACTGAGCGAACACTGACAGCTCTGGGTAAATGTGCTGACCAGTCCTCGGAGGTCCCCACAGCCCTGACGCAGGCTGGCCATCCGTGCCCGAAGTCCTGGCAGGGAGAGTTTGTTGTGAGGGAGAGCCCTGACCCCATGGCCTTCCCGTGAGCCCTCTGGTCCCAGCCCTTACCTGCCAGCCGCCCATGCATCTGCTGCAGCTCCCTTCTACAGTTCTGCTCAGTGTCCTGCTGGAGCTGCCGAAGGGCCCCCCGAAGGCCCTGCAGCTGCACCTCCTGCACCCCCAGCTGTCCCACCCAACCCCACCCTTGTCACTGAGGAAACAGGGCACTTACCAGGCCCTGCCTCAGATACCCTGCCTCCCAGTGCCCCAGCCTTCCCGGCCCCTGGGCTCAGTGCCCACCTGGACTTGAAGTGCTTCTGTGGTGTCCTGGGCTTCCTGAAGCCGGCTCTGGAGCTCCACCAATGCCTCTGCCTCCTCCTGCAGGAAGGGTGGGAGCCAGGTCAGCTGTGGAGCCAGGAGCGAACTAAAGGAGGGGCACGCCAGCAGCCCCATTGGGCTGGATGGGGACATCAAGTTGAGAGGGGCAGGCACAGCTCATCATGAATCCACGTCTCCCAACTTTATACAGGACTCCTTCCCCCAAGTCCCTCTGCTCTCCTGGGGTCAGTCACTTGGAAAGCCACAGGACAGGGCAGAGCTGTTCTCCCATGAGCATTGGTCTCCTTGCAAAGACCATTCCAGGGCCTGTCCACCCCCCTCCCTCCCCATCCCAGGCTCTGGTCCTGAAAGGTCAGAGAGGGTTCCAGCAGCATTAGATCCTGGGCAGTGTTGCAGGTAGCCAGGTGTTCAGGAGCCCCAGACTGCAGGAGAGGTAGCAGCCAAGGAGAATACCTGGGGGGCCCTGGTGGAGGGGCCAGGGCCCCAGTGTAGCAGGAGGTCCCGAGTGAGGCTCAGGCTCTGTTTCAGAGCCTCATTCTCCAGGGTTAGATGCTGAACCCTTTTCTCTGAGTCTGTTGCCCCCTGGTGGAGAGAGAAGCCCTCAAGACTCACCTGAAAGTTGGGGCCACCTCTCTTGTCACCCTCCTGGAGCCCCACCCCGCAACCTTACCACTCCCAGGCGCAGCCGGCCCAGCTCCTCCTCCTGCAGTTCTAGTTGCTGCTTCAGCTCCTCTAGCTGGGAAGGAGGGAGGGGCACAGGGTGGAGCATCTCCTTCCAATCCCTCCACCCCAGTCCCTGTTGCCTTCTGGACCCCTTACCTGTCCGAGGATGAGCTGCTCCAGCCGCTGCCAAGCCCTCTGGTCCTCCTCCAACTGCGGAGGGTTCTGCCCTTGGGCCTCATCCCTTAGTGAAAGGGAAGGGCTCTCTTCTTGAGATGGGGATCCTGGGGTGGGGTGGACCAGTTAAGACTGATGAGGCCCCCAACCTGAAGGAGAGGACACCTCGGCAACAAGGCTGGGCATGGGACCCCGAACTGCAGGCCACTCAGTTTCTGTGCGTTTCACTCCTTCCACACACTCCCTTTACAATTCACTACTCCTTACGCACCAGCAGGAGTGGGGCACTGCCCCTCCGAGGCTGGCTGAGTCCCCTGGGACAGGGCCTGCCTTCCCCTGGGGCTCCGAATCCATGCCAGGAGGGCCAAGAGCTGACCAGTCACCGTCAACAGTGGGGGGACATCGCTCGGCTGTAAAGGACATAGAAGAACCAGAATAGAGGAGACGGAGGTGATGACACGCACGGGGAGACCAAAAGGACTGTGGAGAGAGTATGGATCAGCTGGAGAAGGACCCTCAGCCCCGCTCACCTTGGTCAGGTCAGGAGGATTCCCGAAGCTCTCTTCCGCCCCCAGCTGGACGGAGAGGAACTCAGCAAGACGCACGAGAGCCTCTTCCAGGGAGACCTCGGTAGGGCGGCCTTCGGCTCCCTCTTCCGGCCCATCCTCAGATTCGGAGCAGCCAGTGAGGCCTGGTAGCGGGAAAGCGAGGCTTGTGGCTCACGTGTCGGAGGCCTGGCCAACAGAAGGCACCTCCTGGGCCCCTCCCTCCCAGAGAGGTCACGGGCACCCCTTCCTCTCTCGGACGGCGGGGTTCCCTCCTGGCCCCGGGGACGCAGCGCTCCCGGCTCACCGACAGCACTTACCGACCAGGCCAGTCAGCTCGGTCCACAGCTCTGCCGGGGGCTGGTCGGGGCGGCGGCGACCGCGCTGGCAACCCGCACTCTGGGGAGAGAGCAGCGGGACCTCGGAGGGTTCAGTAAGCAGCCTGGGGGGCCCCCTCCCTCCGAGACCCGGGCCAGGGGAGTTGAGGTCTCCGCTTCCAACAGCACAACAGAGGCGGGGTCCTCCGCACCGCCCCCCCACCCCAGCGTCAGCGCCCTGGGAACGTGCGCTGCGCGGGCCCGCAAAACCCGCTCTCAGGAAGGTGGGCGCCGGACGTGCTGCGCCCGCTCTGCTCACCTGGGCGGGGTCCCCGGGGTCGCCGGCCGCCGCAGCCCCGCCATCCCTACGAAACAGGCTGTAGAAGATGTAGATGAGCAGCGAGTAGAAGGCGTACATGGGAGCGCGGGGCGGCAGAGGGCCCCGCTTCGCGCCGCCCCGCGTCCCAGCGCCCCGACTCCGCGCCCGCGCGCTGCAAAACCGGTGCGCATGCTCGGGGAGGCCGCCCCCACGGCCCCGCTCCCGCGGGTGGGGGCCGCGCGCCCGAGGAAAGGGGGTGCCAGGAACAGGAGCCCCCGGGGCCACACCCGGACACCTGCCCCGCGCCTCCCACCCCTACTTCACTGAGACCGCAGGCTGAGAACGCCCACGGCCTCCACGCACCACCTCCTCGGAATCCTTCCCAGCCTTCCGCGGAGGACCCTATCGCCCTCGCCCCTTAAAGCCCACAGCTGGTAGGAGACCAAGCTCCCATCCCCACATTACCCCTCCCCTCATAGCCCCGACCAGTCCCACCCAGACCCCTCCTCCCCTCTCAGCCCTGCCCCGCCCCCTGCAACAGCCCCTCCCCTCTCAGCCCCGCCCAGAGCCCCGCCCAGCAACCCCTCCCATCACAGCCCCGCCCAGTCCCGCGGCCTGTAACAACCCCTTCCCTCCCAGCTACGCCCAGACCCCCCCTCCCCTCATAGCCCCGCCCAGACCCCTTCACAGCCCCGCCCCCTGCAGCAGCCCCTTCCCTCCCAGCTCCGCCCAGACCCACTCCCCTCTCAGCCCCGCCCAGACCCCTTCACAGCCCCGCCCAGCAGCCCCTCCCATCACAGCCCCGCCCAGTCCCGCGGCCTGTAACAACCCCTTCCCTCCCAGCTACGCCCAGACCCCCCCTCCCCTCATAGCCCCGCCCAGACCCCTTCACAGCCCCGCCCCCTGCAACAGCCCCTCCCCTCTCAGCCCCGCCCAGACCCCTTCACAGCCCATTCTCCCCTTCACAGCTCCGCCCTCAGCCCGCCCCTTTTACTGGCCCTTCCCTTCACAGCCCCTCCCCTCACCACAGATCCCTCCAAACCACTTGGGTATCATACCCCAATCGTGGGACAGAGCTCCCTCCTCCTAGTACCCTCTCCGCCCTCACAACCTCGTCTGGCTCTCCTAGAACGCCCCCTTCCCCAGGCCCCGCCCTCCTACCGCTCTAGCCTCCGCTCCTCTCGTTGGTTCGCGTCAGGCCAACGCTGGGCTGAAGCTGGAGACCCGGCCGCAGCCCGCGAGCGAGCGAGCGATCGGCGGGCGGCGGAGTGGGCGACTGCGGCCTACAGCTCGCCGCTGCGTCGGGGTCTCGCAGCTCAGACGCCGCTGAGGGCCTGCGCTGTAGCTCCTAACAGGCCAGGTTCCGAAGACGGCGCCTCCCCGAGCGCAGGAACCAGGTCGAGTGGGCCTGCGCGCGACTCTCCCCGAGGCCCGGCACCCCCACTTGGATTCCAGGGCCCCAGAACTCACGCCCACCCAGGTCAGGTTCGCTTTCTCCTGTCTTTTCCCGGCCTAACTAGGTTCTTCTTCCCCACAGTTGCGTCTAGTGGTCCCAGGGCTCCGGAAAGTTTCGATGAGCCTATCCCAACACTTAGAAATGGGGTTCTGGAACCTGGGAGTCCAGGAGAGTCGCCTTTAGGGCTCCTGGTCGCCGGCTTCTGCGTTTTCTTCCTCTCCAACGTTTTGGATCCCCTTCCAATTTCACATTCACTACCACCCGAGGTGCCATGGCCCCCAAGCCTTGGAGTGAGTGGAGCACGACCCTGTCCCACCTGGCACTGGGAGTGGTGTCTCTGCATGCAGCCGTGCGCACTGCCCAGGTGAGTACACTGGGGTGGGGCAGGGATGTGTCCCACTTCCAAACTGCAAGGACCTGCATCGGGTCCAGTTCCCCGGATCACAGAGAGGGTGGTGGGAGGTTGAATCTGAGAGCCAGGGTTGCATGAGACCCCCAGACCTTTCCCTGCTTAAAGGAAGGTCCTGGCCTCTTTTTTCCCACACCTCCTCCTATCTTTGTGCTGACAGGCAAGTCGAGGGGCCGCTGCTGGCTTCCTGCTCCAGGCCTTGGCCTCTGCCACCATGCTGGCCCCAGGGCTGGGCACAGATGAAGACTGTCTTGCTGGAGCCTGGGTGGCCACTGTCATTGGCCTGCCCCTTCTGGCCTTCGATTTCCACTGGGTGAATGGGGACCGCTCCTCTGCCAACCTGCTCCTGGGAGGAGGGATGGTGCTAGCAGTGGCCGGTGACCACCTTGGTGCTGAGGGCCGCTCTGTGGCTAGTCAGGCAGTGGTGCTGGTGGTTGCAGTAACCATCCTCATTGTGGCCGTTTTCACAGCCAACACTTACGGAATGTGGGGGGGTGCGATGTTGGGTGCTGCAGGCCTCCTGAGCCGGCTAGAGGAAGAGAGACTGCTGCTGCTACCAAAGGAGGACATCTGTCGCTGGGCCCTGGCTGCAGGCAGTTGGGCCTACCACCAAGCCCTGCACACACAGCGCCTGCAGTGGGAGTGATGTTTGGAGACAGCAAGGTGGGGCTTCTGCCCTGGCTACACGTCCCACTCCCACAGGCCTGCTCCTTTGGGCCTCTTCCCCTAGGATGGACTCTCTTGCCTCCCAAAGAGAGCTTGCTGCAGGGTGATGGATGCCTTGGTCAGGATGCTCAGGTCCCTGAGTCTGGGCACTATCCCTCTGGCTGAGTGTGGGCACTCGCCTAGACCAGAATGAAGGAGATGGGGCCCCAGGCACATGCTGGGGCCTGATGCTGGTCGGGCTGTGGTTTTGGGTCCAGAGAGAGGCTTGGTCTCCAATAAACCTTAGGGATACAGCAGGAATATGGAATCTGCCCATTCTTGAAAGGGATCGAAGGGTCCTCCACTGAGCTTTCTAAAGCTCCAGCGCAGCAACTGGTTTCCTTGTGCAAAAAAAAGGGATGTCCTGAAACTAGCCCTGGGGCCTCACTCAGCCTGACCGCCTAATGGCACCCTTGTCAGGAGGGCCCCTAGACTGAGAAGACCTAGTCCTGGACCCTGTGACATGGTCGAGCTCTGAATATCCTTATACAGCCTGGCAGGTGGCCCTCCAGGACAGTGACCTTCACCGGCTGCCGGTTGGGGTGGAGACAGAGGAGGACTGTACTATACCTGTATTACAGCTGTCCTCAGAAATTAATATTCCCTCTCAGAGCTGACTTGACATGTACTCATTTGCCCTCAGGCCTATGCAAGGCAAGTCCTGATTTTCCAAGACCCTCACTTTCCGCAGTGGACCCCTCTTCAGTTTCCAACCCCGGGATTAGGCAGGACGGTGGTTTAAATTCGGGGTCCGGAGCCCTTTCTCGGGGAGTAGCTATGCTTGGGTGCCGTGGAAGCACACCTGGTCCCACGCAAGAGGACAGGAGTGGGCGGCAGGGTTTCTCTCCTGGCGTGCACGCAAACCTGTGTTGGAGGACAAAGGCGCAAGCACACCCGACGTGGGGGCGCCCAGGAATGCCCACCATCCGAGTGGCCTTCAGCTTGTGGGCCGCACCCTTGACGGACCGGAAGCGGCGCGCACGCCCCCAACCCCAGGATTTCCCCGCCCCTGGCGCGCGCCCCTCCGCTGGTTGCCCTGGGCCCCGCCCCCTTCCTGCCCACTTCCTGCAGGGGCGGGCCCTTGGGCGTCCTTGCGCGCCCATTGGGTCTGACGGACGTACCGTCTAGTCCTGAGCGGTGCTCCCATTGGTCCCACATGATCACGTGACTGGGAGACCGAGGGGGCGGTGGCGGCGGCAGGGGGAGCGCGCAGCGAAAACAAAGATGGCGGCCGCGCCGGGGTCGGTGGCCGCGGCAGCTTCGGGGCGACGCGCGGGCCGGGCCCACTGAGGCGGCGGCGCAGGGAGCGGGGTTGCGGGGTCGCGGCGGCAGCGAGAGGGCGGCGGGAGCGCGCGGCGCCCCTAACCTCCAGCCGCGGGTGCGCGCCGGCACCCGCCCGCCGGGCCGACCGGCCGTGATGTCCGGCGCGGAGGAGGCCGGCGGCGGCGGGCCGGCTGCAGGGCCCGCCGGCGCCGTGCCGGCTGGGGCCGGGGTCGGGGCCGGGCCGGGGTCGGCCGCGGGGCCGGCGGCGGCAGCGGCGCTGGGCGAGGCGGCGGGGCCCGGGCTTCCGGACGAGGCGGGCCTGGCCGGCGCCCGGCAGCTGCAGGAGGCGGCCGGCGACCCAGACGCGCCGCCCAAGAAGCGGCTGCGGGCGGCCGAGGCGGCCGAGGCGGCGGCGGCGGCGGCGGCGGCGGGCAGCGGGAAGCTGGAGGAGCGGCTCTACTCGGTGCTGTGCTGCACCGTCTGCCTGGATCTGCCTAAGGCCTCCGTGTACCAGGTAGGGCCGCCGGCCCGACCCCGACCCAGCCCGGCTCCAGCCCCGCCGCGGCCGCCCCCCCTCCCCCCCCCCCCCCACCTCGGGCACCGCGTGCCCTCGGAAGCCAGGTCTGAGCTCCGGGGCCCAGTAGTCGGGACTCCTGGCGTCTGTTCGGAAGCTTTTCATTCTCCTCCTCTCAGGACTTTATTTCCTACTCATAATCAGTTTCTTGTTCTGACTTCCCTTGTTTCTCGATCCGAATCTTTCCGCTTCTTTATTTTTCAGCCTTCCCCGCCGCCCGACCTCAACACTCCCCAGCCCACCCTTTCAAGTTGACCCCCAAGAAAGCTGGTGACAGATGCCCCCCCACACACTCCTCAGAGTCGGCTCCCCTCATTCTTGAGCTCCCTGGACTCGGAGACCCTGGTGTTTCCTATTCACTCAAGCCCTTATTCTCTATTTTTTTAGCAGCCACACCCCCAAAAGCTGTCTTCAAGCTTCTCTTGTATATCTTCTATCTCCCAATTGAAAGAATTCTCTTTCCGTTTTATTTTGGAAGAACACTGAAAGGACGGGATCACGTCTTTTCCCTCCTCTCTCCCTTCCCCTCATTCCCGGTCTGGATGAACCAGCTGCATGAAGCCCCAGTCTGGCTCCCTTCTCTCTTCCCAGCCTGACCGCATGCTGTGCTTTCTAGACATGCTATGCCCTGAGTTAGACTCCCACCCCATCCCACCTTACCCACACCAGGCCTGGCTTCTTAGGCTACCAGCACTCCACCCTCCTTTTTCCATGTGAGGATCCTGAGTGGTGGCTGGACTCAGTCCTTAGCCAGCCACGGCCATCAGAGAGGGTCCTTGGCCCAGGTGGATCTTCCATGTGCATCACATAGCAGCAGGGGCCACACTCTGGCCCAGGTCAGTTTGCAGTGTGCTGCCTTCTTTGTTCACCTGTCTCTCTCCACCTCAGTACCTCCTCCCCACTCTGACTTTGATACCCCTTCTTCCAAGAAGCCCTGTGAGGAATGGAACGGGTTCTCTGTCATCTTTCTTTGCACTTACAGGAGCTGGTCATAGCTGATGGGGCCTTGTTTTTCTGCTATTACTCAAATTGGGGGCCATGGGTGAGAGGGCCATTTTTGTAGTAAGCAGCACGAGGCTAATCTGGGTTGCCATTTCCCCAGCCTCTAGATCTCCAAGTCTTTTCCTGCTTTGGCATGAGGTAGCTTAGGAGGACCCTGCTGTGCAGAGAGGAAAGAGAAGGCATTGGCAGGGAAGTGGGTTGAGTTCTTTGGGTGGAGGGTACTGCCTCTCAGCCTATCCTGGCGAGAGGCCCTAGCTCAGGAATACCATAGGTCTTCTGACCCAATTGGGGGAGTGCTTCCCATAGCCCCTCAGCCTTGGGGGTACCCCTTAGAGTTGGGCCCTTTCCAGCCCCTTTTTCCCTTGCCCATGATCTTTTGATCCTCTCAGGTGGAGGAATTCTTCCTTCCTTGGGTCTTAAATGAAAGCCCTAAAAAGCCAAGCCACCAATGGGTGGGGGGGAGGTTCCCAGGGGAATTTGGGGGTCTCTCCTGTGAGTGGGCTAGACCTGGACCTGGCATGATGACATAACAGACCACATGGTGCTGCCTCCTGGTCCACTCAGCGCAGACCCAAAGCTCTGCCTCTGGCCAGAACCACTGTGCTGGGGCCTGTGAGCCTGGCTGGTTCAAACCGGCCCACACTGCGCTGGGAGCTGAGCTCTGTCCTAGGCGGGCTGGAGGCAGGCAGCTAAGCAGCTGTGACAGAGACAGTGAAGGAGCTGAGACAGCCCTGACCTGTGGCCCTCCCCATTGCCTAATGGGCTGTGCGTAGCAGCCTCCCTGGAAACAGGCCTGCTAAGCAAGGAGAGCCCATGATGCTAAGCTGTAGGCTCTGGTACTGGCCCCCCTGCTCCACCTCCATTCTTCCCAAAGTGACAGCCAGGCCTTGATAGGGAGTTGTTTCCCTCTCATCTCTGGAGGCCTGGAGAAAGCTCTAGAACATGTGATCAGTAGCAGAGCTCTGGACTCTAGAAAGTTTGACTAGAGTCCTTCCAGGGGTTAACACTTGCTTTGGCTGCTGGAAGCCGTGCCGTGGGTGGGGGCATACCTTGCTTGGATACATAGCCGTGCCCAGGAGGGCCCGAGGGATGAGCCGGAGAAAGGAGGGACGGTTTCTGGGTGGCTCCCTACTGCATACCACCCTGGATGGGGACATTGAGGGTAGTGGTTGGGATGGGCCTGGAGCCCTTCCTGTGCCATTGCCTGGTCCCATCTGAGCTGGGTTTACTCCCAGGAGGATTTGGTGATGAATGGCCTAGGCCCTACACACGCTGTCTCGAAACAGGCAGGCACACAGCTTTCTGTGTGTCCCTGGTTGGGGCCCACTACTGGCCATCACCTCTTGGCCTGGGCTCAGCCCCTCCATTTTTGAGGGCCTTCTTTGGTGAGCTGTGTTGACTGGCCGTTTCTGGTGGGCTGCTCTCAGGCCTGTGATGTGTTCCGTTCTCTGTTTCTACCAGCAGCATTTCTCCTGACCCCACCAGGACACACGGCTTGTGTCTGGGGATTGTCTCAGATGGTGCCCAGCTCTGGGGTGAGGAGAATAGCCAGGGGCCATGGTGAGCCCTGTGCGCTGTGCCTGGCTGAGGCTGTGGGGGACAGCTCCATGGGCCCCTGGAGTTGGCTGAGTTCATGGTGACTTGAGAGCTTGCCCTTTGGCCACCAGACCCCACCTCCATGCCACCAGGGGAGCGGTGGTGGCGGGCAGAGCTCACTTGCACAGACTTACCCACCTGTTTCTGAGTCTGAGCCCCTGGCCCCACATAGCTGGCTCTCCCACACATCTAGCTCGTCAAGCCACACACACCTGGGCTGGGACTTGCTTTTGTGTAAGAGCAAGGCAGTCATGCAAATGGTTTTCACCACGGCCTACTTTAAGTTAGGTCAGGTCAGGGACGGAGTGGGTACAGCAGGTGCTAGCTTTGATGTTCTTTGTGCGGGTGTTGGGTGTGGCCTTGATGACCGGCCCTGCAGGGTATGGGGCCACTTTCCAGAGTCCCAGGCAGCCACTGGGGCAGGCAGGTGGGGGCAGGAGGGCTGGAGTTGGAGCAGGGATACTCATGCAGGGTGGGCAACAGGGCATCTGCCGTACATGCAGAACTGTCGCACCAGGGCAGTGTGACCTGCCCCCCACTCCCTCCCGCCCTGTGTGTCTGAGTGCCTTTTCTGGAGGAAATAGCCTTGGTGGTGCCTGGAACATTGAAACTGCAGCCCGATCTTCCCGGGCTCTCCCCCAGCCTTTCACACAAGGCCCAATGTGTTGTCCATGTGATATACCTGGTAGGACCCCGCTGACGTCAGCTGAGGCCCTGAGCTGTGGACCGGCGTCTGGAGGGAGGGCGACCTAGCTCCGCCACCCCTCACCACACTCAGCCAGAAGAGTTCCTGTGACCCCCGCCCCCCCGTCGGGAAGGAGTAGTCAGGGGGGTGTCACAGGATGCTGCCCCTGAGTGGCTTTGTGGCCTGCCAGCAGCACACCCCCTCCTCCCAGGGTGCCCTCTCCCTACTCCTCCTTTTTTTCTAGGCCCCACAGAGGCAGTGGCCCCATGCTGTGGCCATCCTCTCTCCCTGCGACAGGACGTTTGTCCTCACTTGACTGGGGCTCTTGCCAGTTTCTGCCCTGTGGGAGGGCTGGGTATGTCTTGCTGTGCTTCTCACCCCTGAGGTCTCCTGTCTCCACCAGGACTCGGCTGAGGCCCAGGAAACTGGTTACGTGATTGGCAGTCATGTTGGTAAAAGGCCTAGGAAGCAGGGGTGGGCCCATCTTTGCCCAGGCCCCAGCCAGTGTGGTCGCAGGCCTTGGGGAGCCCCCAGTGGTTGTCAGCATGCCTGGTGCTGCAGGCTCTGTTCAAAGTGATGTTTAGGGAATCCCCCATGAGGCTGCCCACCCAGCTGGCCTGGGATCCTCTTCCCTAGCTCCTGGCTCTTGCTTTGAGGTAAGAAAGGTGGCAGAATAGAGCTCCAAAACAAGAGCATAGAGAGGAGAAAGTTTCTGAACTCTGGCTACATGAGAAGCTGTATTTTTTTGTGGTGGTTACTTGTCATTTGAGTTGCCTTTCAATCCGGAGTATCTACATTCTGAACAAGAACCTGGCTATGGGAATGACTGGTTCCCCCCCGAGTCCTGACTCTTGAGGTGTGATATCAGGAGCTGTTGGTCCAGGACTTCAAACCCAAAACCCGGTGGCGTGTTAGAGTCCTGGCTGTAAAGCTGCATTTCTTGGACACGGCAAGATCTCTTAGTTCCCTCGAATAAAGAGATTGAGGAGACCTCAGGCCAAACATCAGGGACGTGGGGTGCCCTGCAGCTCTCATGAGCATGGTGAGAGGGACCTCCAGCTGGGCTGAGCAGCAGTTTTGGGGTTAGTGCCCTAGCTGTCCTTTGGAGGGTGGGCTGCTCACATGGGCCTAGGTGCCAAGCCTTCCTGGAGCCCCCAGCGTTTGAGGGGACCATGTACTTCAGGCTTAAAAGAGGGCCTAAAAGGCCTATTGACCAAGGCTTGGTTTCCAGGAGTTGGGGGGGGGTGGTATTTTCTAAGGTGCTTTTACAGCCCAAGGCCTGGAGTCAGGGCTCCTCCCCATGAGTTTGGACGGTACATTCAGCTTCCCCTTAGCCCAGGCGGGACGCTGGCCTGGGTGCACGTGGGCTGCCTGTGGCCAGGTAGAGGGAGAGGTTGCTGGGTGGTGTCCTGAGAGGGCAGGTACAAATGTCCGCTCCTGGGCCATTTGCGGAGGGGCTTGGGGGATATTGCTGTGGCTTGGGTGGGGCTGGGGCCTCCCGGGGTGAGGGAGGAGCTTTTGCTGAAATCACATGCTTGTGCCAGGAGTCCTTTCCGAGGCTCTGCAGGTGGGGGCCATGTGAGGGGCTGGCCAGGCTCTGCTGTGTGGTAGCCATGGTGGGTGTTTCTTCTGTTCCTGTCATGTGCTGGGGGCTGAGCCATGCTGTCATACGTGTCCCACCCCATCTCTTCAGCACATGATGAGGCCAGTCCTGTCTTTTGTCACTTTCTGTGCCTGAGGAAAGTGAGGCCCAGAGAAGAAAGCAAGAAGCCCAGGGTCATGCTGCTGGTGACCTGTAGGCTAGAGATTGAGCCAGCATCTGTCCTGGGAAGCCCTACAATGTTCTGAATTGGGGTGCCCCTCTTCCTGCTCCTCCTTCCTGCTCCTCCTACCAGCAGAATCTTCCTGGCAGCCTGGGTGAGCGCTGCAGGAGCTGCTGCTTGGGGTACCCAGGTTCTTGGGGGCTTGGCTCTAGCATGTGGAGTGGGGCATTCTGGCTTGCCCTAGCTGTCCATTGGAGGCTTGGCCTGCAGCTGGCATTGTGTAGAGCCCTCTGGGAGCCAGGTTCCGGCCGGGCAAGTCAGGGTAGGTACAGTCCAGCCCGGCCGCTGAGGAGGCTAAGTCTGCGTTACCAGTTGGCCAGGCCTGCATGTGGAGTCGGAGTCTTGCTCAGGAGGTCGAGGAGGACCTGGATAGCGGGGAGGGCTCTGGAGCATGGTGATCCACCCTGCTGTGGACAGACCACCTGGGCTGGATGTCATCTGGGCCCAGACCAGCACCTGGTTTTTACCCAAGAACACCCCTCGGGTAACTGGTGAGGTGCTGGCCGCATGTGGATGTCCGCTTGTCCCTTGGCTGGGCCTGTAGCACTCTGCAGCATCTTGCTGGCTCACTGTCTTCCGTCTCACAACTGAGCTGTTGGGGCCTAAGGGGCAGTGACCCTGCCTTTCCCCAGAGGACGGCAAGGGTCAGTACGGCTTCTCCATGGCGTCCTATCACCGAAGCCTGTGTTGCATCTAAAAGCTCCAGGAGGAAGGGGGTGAGAGCTAGCTTGGATGTTCCTGCAGCCCACAGGCTCTAGAAGAGACCTGCTGGGAAGGGTATGCAGGTCACCCCCTGCACCAGAGTAGTGGACTTTCAGGGCAGTGCTGGGAGGTAGGTGTCATGTACTTGGCAACCTTGGTGTTCCTCAGGGGGCTCTAGGACTCCATCCAAGTCTCTCACCCTTAACCCCACACCCTGGCTGGGCCACCTTGAGATAGAAGAGAAGCCAGGTGAGTTCTGTTGCTGTTCTGCTCAGGCGAGTGGTGGCTGCAGAGCTGGGCCCTGCCCAGGTAGCCTCTCACCAGAAGGCATCGAGAACCAGAGTCTGTGGTGTGGGGCCCCCAGGCCCTGGGTCCCAGGGTTGGCATCCTGCAGGCCCTGAAAGTAAAGGGCCTTGGTGTCCAGCCAGGCATCCTCGTTGGAGGTGCCAGGCAGTGGTTGTGGGGGCACCCTGAAGTTGTGGGGTCCAGGGGGCACCCTGAAGTTTCCTCCTCCCGTGACTCAGTCGTTAGTGAGCCTGAGCACCGTCCTTCTATGCCTCTGCAAGCTGCAGCAGTCTTCTCTTGGGGGCTGTGGTTTGGCGAAGCCAGGTCTCTGCCGGGCTCAGGCCCCTGGCGGGGGCTGTGATTAAACACATGCCCTGGGCCCTTGGTCTCTGCCTCCCACCGAGTGGAGGGGGCCTGTGGTGTCTGTGTCCCCTGCCCTCCCCTTCACCCACCGCATCTCTGGCTTCTCCATTGACCCCTGGGGGTGGACAGGGTAGCCTGCTGTTCTTGTGAGCAGGCCTCAGCTCATCCCAGCTGCTTCTGGGAGTCCCCACCCCTGCCAGCCCATGTGTCCAAAGCTGGCACTGGCCCACCCCTGCCAGGCCCTTTTCCTCCAAACCTGAGCCCAGCCAGCTCCCCTTCCTCCTCTTGCACATTTTAATTTTTGGCCTGACTTAGAAATGGAGATTTTTAGCACAGATAGTCTGTGGTGTTTGTGTGGACATGGATTCTGTAAATGAGGCCTTTGTCCCCAGCCCTCCCACCTGCACTGGTCCTTAGCACGTAAGTCCCATCACTCACTAGCCCCCAGGCCCGGCACACAGGTGCCAAGAGCTCCCTTGGCCTCCCATAGCTCCTCAGCTCAGGGTGCACAGACCCCTGAAATGATGGGATGGCAGCTGGTGTTGACCGAGGATCCCATGTGTGTGGGTGTGGCCAGGCCTCTACTGCACTGCAGCCGCCCTCAGAAGTGCCCTGGACCTCGGGGGAAGCTTGTGGCCCAGTGGCTTTCTGGAGGTTTGCCCCGGCTGGGGAGCCCAGGCCGGCTGCTGGCGAGGCCTGTGACAGTGTCATCTGCCCGCTCACCCTCAGCTGGCTGCAGGAGAGTCTCCAAGTGGAAATCCAGCTACCCTCAGCAGAACCCCCACATGCGCCCCACAGCGTTCCCTGACCTCTGCCCCTGCAGGTTCTTACCAGCCAGGGCCAGGCCTGGGGATCTGTGTCTGCCCGAGGGGACGCTCAGCTCAAGTCTTTGCTCTTGTATCTCGGTGGGTCTCTCCTACCCCTGGAGGGCCGGGCCCACAGCCTGTGTACTTCCCTGAACGGCACCACGAGGGCACTCAGGATGTGCCTGTGGAACCAGAGGCCCGCTGTCTGCGTGCGCATGGACTCCCAGCATGGGCACGTTGCCCACAGGCAGTGTCTGGGCCTCAGATCTGCAGGCTCCCAAAGGAAGGGGGCCTGCCTCCTACTGACCCAGGTCAGCAGTGTGTCCTGCCGGTAGCCCCCGTTCTCTCGTCCAGGCGTACACCATGCCCACACACCCTTGTCCCAGGCCAGCTGGGTCTCCCTACCCACCCCAGCTCGATGCCAGTAGCCTGCAGGAAGGTCCCCATGCGACGCCAGGCTCACTGGGTGGTGGCAGCTGCCTTCTCACCTGGGCTGGAGTGGAGGGGCCAGGCCCCCAGCACGGGGGAGCAGTGTCTGCTCCTACTCAGCAGCTTCTGGTTAAGTGCTGCTGCCGTACTCAGACAAGAGTCTGTGTTCCTGTAGGTGTCCCGAAGTCAGGGCCTCTGGGGGACCCCTGACACAGTCCCTGGCCCCTGGGATGGGAAAAGGCTCCAAGCCCCAGCGTGGCCGAACCAGTCACCGCTTGTGGGCCTCCCTCAGTGGAGGTCTGTCACCTCTGCAAGCCACCAAGGGCTCCCTTGGAGTCACCTGCCTCTCCACAGGAGCCCCATTGGCCACGTCTTTGCCATGTTCCACGGGAAAGGCCCGTTCCTCCTGAGCAGTGGCTCTGTTTGCCTCTCCTGGCCAGCAGGCCCTTCTGCAGCTGGAGCCAGCGGGGCAGGCTGGTGGTGCGCGTGTGCACGTCCTGCAGGTCTGTGAGCTCATCTCCCTTTCCTTCTTCGCAGTGTACTAACGGTCACTTGATGTGCGCTGGCTGTTTTATCCACCTACTAGCAGATGCCCGGCTGAAGGAGGAGCAGGCCACATGCCCTAACTGTCGTTGTGAGATCAGTAAGAGCCTCTGCTGCCGCAACCTGGCTGTGGAGAAAGCCGTGAGCGAGCTGCCCTCCGAGTGTGGCTTCTGCCTGCGCCAGTTTCCCCGCTCCCTCCTGGAGAGGCACCAGAAAGAGGAGTGCCAGGACAGGTAACCTCCTGGGCCGGCCTGCCCGCCGGAGGTTCAGCCACATGTGTGGGGCCCAGGATGGGGTGGAGGCCACCCTGGTGCAGGCGAGGCCCCAGAATGTGGGATATTCTGGTTGGTCTTTGTTGCCCTGGCCCTGGGTTCTGCACACATAGCCCAGTGACAACCTGGAGGGAATGGGCCAGGGTGAAGCTGCTCGGGGCCCAGGCCCTGGAGGGGAGCAGGGGTGGGCCCCACAGAGGGCAGGGGGCTGTGATCTGGACCCATTGGCTGTTTGGACATCACCCTGGCTCTCCCAGGTTCTCTGGCTGCATGGGGACCTCTTAGAGGCTCTCTGTCCTTGGCCAGCTCTGGGAGCTCAGCGTGAAGCTGCATGGACACCCTAATAACCCAGTCCCTGCTGGCTGGCCCTGCTGTCTGCCAGTGGTCAGGCCAGCGAACCTCACACAGAGCGAAGCTGCATAGGGTCCAAGACCATGGTCAGTGGCCACTGTTGCCAAGCAAGAGAGTCCTCCCAGCAAAGGGTGTAGGTGGCATGTATATTCACAGCTCTCATGTGCTCCTTTTTTCTCAGTCTCTCCCACACACTCCGACCCCTTCCTGGGGGCTGGCACAAGTGGATATGTCCTTCAAGGTGTAATTTGTATGAGCAGGGCTGGGCAGAGCCACCTCCCACAGGGCGCAGGCTGTGACCACGGTGCTCGCCTCCTCCCCAGGGTGACCCAGTGCAAATATAAGCGCATCGGCTGCCCGTGGCATGGCCCCTTCCACGAGCTGACGGTGCATGAGGCTGCGTGTGCCCACCCAACCAAGACGGGCAACGAGCTGATGGAGATCCTAGACGAGATGGACCAGAGCCACCGCAAGGAGATGCAGCTCTACAACAGCATCTTTAGCCTGCTCAGCTTTGAGAAGATCGGTTACACAGGTGAGGCGCCCCGCCACCCACTGCATGCCACACAGGCTGGGGGCGGGGGGGTGGGCGGCGGCTGGGAGCCTGGGGAGCAGTGCGCTCTGAGCAGTGGGCACAGGCCATGCTGGAAGGCCAGGCTGTGGACAAGCTTTTGGTGAATGGGAGGACACCTTGGGGGAGAAGACGTGCCAGAGGCCAAGCAGGGGAGGGGCCGGGGCAGGACCCCGGGGGCACCTGCATGGCTCTCAGAGGCCCTCTCACCTGTCCTCCCCTCCCTGGGCCTGCCACCCTAACAAGGTGGCATCCTACTGCGTGGGGCTGCACAGCCCTTGGGACAGTCAGTGTCTAAGCGGAAGGTGGGTGTGTCTTGGAGGGCCCAGCGGCTAGGGGCCTGCCCTGCGGAGCCAAAGGCAAGAAGAGCACTCAGCACATCCGGTCCTGCCTGCAGGCAGTTACTGCAGTGGCCACGGGTCTCCTGAGGCCATCAAGAAGATGCTCAGGGGCAGGGCTCCTGAATGAGCTGAGGGTGCTCAGCTCAAAATGCAGAGCTGGGAGTGGACGCCCAGGGACGGGCAGGCTGGACCACGCTCAGGCCCGCTGGATCTCATGGGCTCGCCTGGCCACTGCCACTGCTTTTGGACATGCTGGGGAGCAGGAACCAGGCCAGGGCCTGGTCCAGATACAGAGAACAGCAAGAAGCACCTGCTGACACTGGGGCCACTCAGGGAGACTACGGCCCTCTACTGCTCAGCCCACACCAGGCAGCCGGCTCAGAGCATCAAGGGCGGTCACAGGCAACCAGTCACGCCATGCTGCCTGGACTAGGCCTGGCTAGGTGTGGGCCTGCACAGGCCTGAGAGCGAAGGGCCCCACAGCCTCAGCAGCAGAAGGTCGTGGCCCCTGGTTAGTTGCAGCCTCAGCTGCCCTGCTGGGCGCCATGGCACAAACAGTCCAGGCCAGGCCTCGTGGGTCTGGGCGGGCCGAGGCATCATGATGGTGGCGGTGGCCGGGCAGGGACCCCCGTCCACGCAGGAAGGACTGGCCACCTCCGTGGAGGGACTCGGGGGCCGTGGGCCCCGGGCTGTGCTGAGAGAACTGTGTGACAGGAGCCCAGCACTGGGCCACACGCCAGCGCTCTGCCTTGCGCCCCACGCAGGCTACGTGCCGCCCGCCCGCCCGCCGGCTTTTCTGGCAGCTCTGTATCAGAACCAATAAAGTGCACTTGTTCTCAGAACGCATCCTGTCTGTGTGTCTGCTTACCCACGCCCCTTGGGTGGGCCTCCCTCTGCCTGGGCTGGGCCCTGGGGGCGGGGCAAAGAGGGAGGCCAGCGAGGGTCGAGGGTCGGGCGCTCACTTCCTTCAGCCTCCGGACTCCCTGCAGCTAATGCGTGTTACTTCTGTTTGTAGTTCTTTCCCCCAAGCTTGAGTACGCCTCCATTTGCCATAATTGCGTTTGATTAGCCTTGTGACCAGTAGAGCACGCTGTGTCCTCCTGGTAAGTTGCCTTCCTCCCCGGCTGAGCCTTTGTCCTCGCTCGGCCTCTGGAAGGCGCCGCCCCCGGCCCCGCCCACACTGACTGCCGGCTCTTCCCGGCCTGTCTGTCTCCACAGAGGTCCAGTTTCGGCCGTACCGCACGGACGACTTCATCACACGCCTGTACTACGAGACGCCGAGGTTCACGGTGCTGAACCAGACGTGGGTCCTGAAGGCGCGCGTGAACGACTCGGAGCGTAACCCCAACCTGTCATGCAAGCGCACGCTCTCCTTCCAGCTTCTCCTCAAGAGCAAGGTCACGGCGCCCCTGGAGTGCTCCTTCCTGCTGCTCAAGGGTCCCTATGATGATGTGAAGATCAGCCCGGTCATCTACCACTTTGTCTTCACCAACGAGAGCAACGAGACGGACTACGTGCCACTGCCCATCGTCGACTCCGTGGAGTGCAACAAGCTGCTGGCCGCCAAGAACATCAACCTGCGGCTCTTCCTGTTCCAGATACAGAAGTAGGCGGCTCTGCTGTGCTGCCCACGCCTGCCCAGCGGCGGCTTCGCCGTGATGTGTGACCATCTGAGCAACGGAGGAGGAGGAGTGAATGCGAACGTTGGGAAAGTCTGCATGCGTGTGCGAAGGCGTGAGTGCTCACGCCTCGCCCTCTGCCCCGCCTCCCCTGTCCCAGACACCGGAGGCTGGGCCACCTGCAGAGGAAACGGTGGCTCAGGGACACCATGGGGCTAAGCCCAGTGGCCACGCCCTGGCCCCCAGTGGCGCAGTGGGGCGCACCGTCTGCTCTGGGCCGTGCTCGGCCCCTGGGCCGGGCTCGGGGAGCACGCTGACTTCAGACGGCATATTTGATTGCAATTAAAAAGGCACCCTTGTTTCCTACTTTCTGTTTTGTTTGAGGGAAAGGCGTAGCTGCGATTGGACATTGGGGGAGCTTTGATTTGGCCTGGGGGTCAGAGCCCAAAGGTCCTTGTCACTACACCTCCATGTACACCCACCACCAGAGCCGGGGTCTTGCAGCGGCCCCAGCGCACCCCCCACCCCACCAGCTGCCCCAGAGGGGCAGGACTTGGCCACCCAGGCTCAGCAGATGCTTCGGAATGCAGGGTGAAATTCTGTCTCTTCCCAGGAAAAAAATTAAACTCTTTACAGGCTCTTCTATAAGTTATGAAATTTAGCAAGAGAAAATCTATTTTGTGTATTCAGCCTTGAGGGCACAGCATCCCCAGCCTGTGAGGGAAGCTGTGGGTGGGGGCTGCTGGTGATAAGCTAGCCTGGCTGGGGGAGGGTTTGAGTGGGCTGGCCATCCCCCATGCTGCTGGCCCTGTGTCTGGGGGGGCCCCCCACAGAGGTCAGTCCTTGGGCAACCTGGTTTCTCGCTGGAGGGAGCTCTTCAAGCCTCAACTTCGCTGCCTCCATGACCCTGGCCTGCAGTGAGCAGGCCTCAGTGTGTGGGCCTCACAGCTGGGGAAGGAGCCCTGCCTGGAGGCCCCTGGGACCCTCAGAGCTGCTGGAAAGGGGAAAGCTTGGCCGCCCCCCCCCCCCCCCCACTTTGCTTAGGAGACACGGCTCTTTTGCGATAGGTTTCTGTTCCTTAAATACCAAAGAACCGTTTCCTTTGCCTCCGGCCTGGCCTACCCGATGCTTCAGAGCAGTCCCTGCCACTCCCGCCCCCCTCCCGACCTAGCCCCCCATTTCCCGGGCCCTGTAGGCTCAGCATGCTGGGGAGCCCTGGCAGCAAGAGTGCAGAGCTGCAGGCCTGGCCTTGCTCTGTGGTCCCTCCCTCTCCCAGCCCTCAAGCTGGGAGCTGAGAAATGGAGGCAGGGAGGCCTGGGGTAGAGTGACGCCTCATCCCAGTGCTGAGCCCAGGCAGCCGTCTGAGCCAATTCTCCCCCCAGGGCAGCTGGCTTTGTTATATTGAGAAGACTGGTTAGCTTCCTGTTTCCAGCCTAGGGTGCGGGGCTTATGGGGGAACCCCTCCTGCAAGGCCATCTGTGCCTGGCCACTGAGGGCACCCAGAGGTGCTATGCTTGCTTTCCTACCCTCCACAAAGATGCCACCCAGCCCCCAGCACATCCTTGGGGGCACACCCTGGCAAGAGTCCCACTGCCCTCGAGGGCTGCCCCCCACCCGGCAGGCACAGGATGACATTCAGATAGCCATGTGCCAGGTCTCGTGTGTAGAGGGGATAGGGCTGCGTCATTGCATCTCAGCATCTCTTGGGGATGGACACTGTCTCTGTAGAGTGTCTGGATTTCAGAGGACCATGTGGTGGAGGAGCCAGGCCAGGGCAGGCTTGCCTGTGTTTGGGTGCATGTGTGAGAGATTTGAGCCAGCAGAGGGGTGGCGCCCAAAGGCTCTCCTAGCTGGGGCAGGGTGGGAGGCAGCAGATCTCTACGCAGGTCAGGTATGTGGCTGGGCCTTCTCAGCCCTGTCTCTGCAGTCCTAGGTCTAGCAGTCCTTGCGGATGGGGGTGGCAGATGGGCTGGGCTCTGCACACCAAGGGTTCCTGGGTGCTGTGGGCATATAGCCCACTATTTCTGGCAGCCCAAGGGCATGGGGGGGCAGGGTGGCACCCACACAAGGCCCTCCTTGTAAGGGCATGTGTCTGGGGATGCCCAAGAGGAGTGGTAACACATCCCAGCATCGCTGTCCCCAGCACAGCCCCCACCCCGTGACAGTCACCTCAGCAGCTGAGTCTTACAGCCTGGTGGAGACAGGTACCCTGGGAGATTGTGGTATGTTTCAGCCACTCCTGGGAGCTGGTGCCACAAACCTCCTGTGGCATCTCACGGGGGCGTCCCCTGATCCCATCCACGTTGCTAGAAAGGAGAAAACACCCATGGTCTGTCTCCAGGACCCCTTGCCATCTTGGCATCCTGACCTAGAGAGAGTGGGGGAAGAACCCCAACAGATGTGGGGGAGTCCTGGGGGCACAGACCAAGCTGGCCCCTCTACTCCCTGCCATTACCACTCCCCTACGGGCACTACATCCCTCAGTTCACCCAAGTGAGACATTTACAAAAATAATAAAAATAATTTTTTAAAGAGTAAAGTGAGAGGTGTTTTTATCACCGTGGGAAATGACTTACATGTCACTATTGTGGTCTGTGTTCTCTTTGGATATTTTCTGTATGTAACTATAGTTTCAAAAAAATTCCAAACCATGTTTTGTCTGTGTTTCCTTATGTGAGAAGCCAGCCTCATGGATGCGTTTCCCTGGGCTCTGCTAGCATCCTGGACAGGAGTCAGGAGCTGCCCTGGCTGGGCCCCTCACCCCACAGCCCCTGCTCGGGATGCCCCATATACACATCCTTGCCTGACCGGTGCGAAGACTGAGGCATAGCGAAGTGGGGTCCTCTCTGGCTGTCTTGTGAATGCCGAATGCTCCCAGCAGCTCTGGGGAGACTCCCTCCGCCCTTGGCCTGTTGAGCTGAGCCCGTCTCTACTTCTGTGGCCTTGCTCTCCCACCCCTGCCCCATCTCCACCTTGCCCCTCACTGTGCTTTTCACACTCCACCAGCAGGCCCTCCAAGCAGCCCTCTCGGTTTCAGGGCCTTCCTGTTCTGCTCCCCACTCCCAGACCAAACTAGGGACCCGCAGAGCACTTTATCCTTCCAAGAGAAGAGGGTTACCTGGGTCCAACTTCCCATCTCCTGCACTTCCTCAGGCTTGGCTTTGCCCCCATCCCTGAAGCCTGGTCACTGGCCCTGGGCAGTCTTCCCTGGACCCAGAGACCCATCTACCCTCTACGTCATTCCCTCCACCACAGGCCTTACGGTCCATGCACTGCCTCAGGGTTTCTACCCTATTGGGTTTGTTTCGATTTCCACAGAAAATAAATGCATCCACCATCCCACCCTTCCCGGCCCTCCTCTGGGGCCTTTGGACACCAGCCTTGGCACCCAGTGGGGACTGAAATCTCCAAGGCATGGCAGGTGTTTGGTTCTCGAAGCCGTGGAGACACGACAGGCACGTAGAGGTCTGCGGCCTGGGTGCACCAAGCCCACAAGGTGAGGAAGAAGTACCTTGCTCTGTTCGGTTTGGAAAACACGTCCACCCCCTTCTCCCGCGCCAAGCACTGCGGATTTGTGTCCGCGAGCGTGACGGCTCTGTGGCTGCATTCGCGGTTGTTCCACAGGCTCTGTGGAAAGGGGCGTATTTGATTCCGTGCACCCAGCCAAGTACTCAAGAGTTCATCTCCTTTTATACGGAGGCGGTGCGTCCCCCAGGTAAAGTCGCAGGTGTAGGTAGGTTTTGCATGTGTGTGTGTGGGGGCGTGTGTGTGAGGTTAGCGGCAGCACGCGGGCACAAGCCCAGGAGACCCCACCCCAAAGGCGGCTGCGGGGCCGGGGAGGAGCGTGGGGTGGGGCTCAACTCCCACGCGGCCCCAGGAGTCTGGGGAGGTGCGGGTCCTCCCGTCGCTCTCTCGCCGCCCTTCCCCACTGAACGCCACCCGGACTACAGCTCCCAGGATGCTCCGGGCAGCTGGACTACACGTCCCGGGATGCTCCGCCCGGCAGGGGCGGGCCTGGGCGGGGCCGCGGCGGGAGCGCGGGAAGTCCGGATCCCCGCGCGCGGCTGCTTGAGCATGAACGTGGAGCGCGAGCTTCGCCGTGAGTGTCCCGGCCGCGTGCGGGACCGGGAGCGGGTTTGGCCCGCCCGAGCGAAGGGGCTCAGCCTCCGGCTTCGTCTCTCTCTCTCTCTCTCTCTGCAGAGCTGAGCAAGGCCAAGGCCAAGGCCCAGAGGAGCGGGCAGCTGCGCGACGAGGCGGTCCTCTGCCACCAGCTGGGGGAGCTCCTGGCCAGCCATGGTGCGTGCCCCGCGCCTGGTCCAGGCTGCGGTCCAGGGCCGGGAGAGCTGGGGTGTTGGAGGTCGGGGGGCACTCGGGGGCGGAGGGACGGGGACCGGCGGAGGGGGCGGGAACCTTGCTGAGCGAGCCGCCCAGGGCCGCGCACAGCCGCGCTCTCCCGCGCAGCCCCCGGCTGCCTGCCCGGCCCGGGCTGAGGCCTGCCGTGCCCGCCCGGCCAGGTCGCTACGCAGAGGCCCTGCGAGAGCACCAGCATGAGCTCCAGCTGCTGGAGAGCGTCGACGACCCCCTGGGCTGTGCCGTGGCCCACCGCAAGATCGGAGAGCGACTGGCTGAGCTGGAGGATTACTCGGCCGCCCTGAAGGTGGGCGGAGCCCACCCCCACCCCCAGCGCCCTTGTAACCACATCCAGCCCTGCAGGGCCCACGCCTCCTGCCGGTCCCTTTTTCTTTCTTTCTTTTTTTTTTAAAGATTTTGTTTGTTTGTTTATTTGACAGAGAGACAGAGAAACAGCGTGAGAGGGGATAGGGTCAGAAGGAGAAGCAGGCTCCCCGCGAGCCGGGAGCCCGATGCGGGACTCGATCCCAGGACTCTGGGATCATGACCCGAGCCAAAGGCAGTCGCTTAACTAACTGAGCCACCCAGGCGCCCCTGCTGGTCCCTTTTTCTTTTTTTTTTTTTTAAAGATTTTGTTTATTTATTTATTTGACAGAGAGAGAGAGAAACAGCGTGAGAGGGGATAGGGTCAGAGGGAGAAGCAGGCTCCCCGCGAGCCGGGAGCCCGATGCGGGACTCGATCCCAGGACTCTGGGATCATGACCCGAGCCAAAGGCAGTCGCTTAACTAACTGAGCCACCCAGGCGCCCCTGCTGGTCCCTTTTTGAGGAGGGAAGCCCAGTCTTCAGTGTCTGACCTCTGGCTAAAGGAGGACACGCCTGGACATGGCCTCTTCTTCAGACAGCCCTGTGACGGGGGATTGTAGTCTGGTCCTTGGGTAGGCACATCATAGCCTGTCCTAGGGGCCTGGGCCCAGCAACCATTAGTGAACACAACACTTGGGCTGTGTTTGTGGG